GCAGGCAGTGGGCACTTCACTGGAGATGCCTGGGATGACGAGGCTGGCTGGGGAGACGGAGGAAGAGCCCGGCAGGTGCGCAAGGCTGCAGGTCCCTCGTTAGCTCAGCTGCAAGTCCGGAGGACAAGCCACGTAAACTGTGGTGCGATCTGTCTGCCTCCGACACCCTTCCGCCTCCCTCCCTCCCTCAGAATGAGAGAACTGTCTTCCACCTTCTGCCACTTAACTTGCTTTCTTTTCCATTAGGGGAGACATCCTGGGAGGGAAAAACGATGCGCTATCAGATTAAATTAGTTAATAGCTTTAAGGGCTTACAATAGTGCCTGGCACAGAGTGTTGCGTGTTTCAGTAAAATAAATAAGCCGTAACTATGAACTGGTCTGTTTACTCCAAGCCCTGGAAGTAGACTCTTAGCTTTTAAAATCAAGCCTCAATGTTTCCTGGGGAAGGAAATCATTAACGCCTGGGTGAAGCCAAGGTGAAAGTCCCCGTTAGCAGTGAAGACGGATTCTTACTTGGATATTCGAATTGCGAACTGAAGATTTATTAGGAACCACAGACATGCTAGTGGTAACTCAGAGCAAGGAACAAAGGTTTTGCAAAGAACGCAGGCCAGGACCCTCCGAGATGAGGGCAGAAGGTGTTCCCACCCACCCTCCAAGCCTTCAGTCACTTAACCACAACACCGGCGTGGTATCTCAGAAGTGACACTCACTGATCCATTTTGCCTCGTGTTTGCAAAGCAAGGAGCACCAGCTTGATGGCTCTGGACCTGAGGATGAGGAATGACTCGGTTCCCTTTCATCACCTTTCAGAACTAATGCACCAGCTGTGCGTGCAGCCAAATCATCTGCCCTGGAAACAGCCTGGCACACAGACATTCCTGGGCCACGTTTGCTGGACCCCAGTGAACTGTTTTAGCCAGATGTTGTGGGGGGGGGCGGTGCAGGAGAGGGGTCAGTGAGACTGGGACCCCAAAGCTGATGAAGGCACGTCCCCTGGGCTCAGGAGAGCACAGCCTGAGGATTTCCAAAGGGCTGAACCACTCCACGGCTGGAGCTCATCTTTGGAAGGAGAGTGATCAGGTGGAGGCACTGAGGAAACAGCCCTTTCCTGAGGTGGTGGGGATTGTGAGACCAGCGAACAAAAATAAATGGGCTTCATTTGGGGTGCCCTGTTTCTACTTACTGGAACAAATGTATTCTGCAAGCTTTTCCGCGTTTCCACAGTTTTCTCCCTCTGTGTGCAGGCCAATTTTATTCACTGGAAAACAGTAACAAAATACATTTCTTTCCATGGCTGTTAAAGTCCTTCTGTGCTGGTGTTGTTTTCTTAGTGTGCAAATACAGAGGCACGTGCTTTACAAATGGCACGGTGAAAGCCTCCCCTTGAAAGCCGGTGCGGGGACATGGCAGCATCCTGTCGCCGTGGGGGAGCCAGAAGGGGAGGCTTGGGGTGACCTCCAATTCCTCTGAGAGCCACCCAGCTCGTGTGCAGGAGGGGAAGACACCAACCAGACGGGACTGTTTTAATGGTTATACGAGAGCAAGCTGCTGGCCACTAGGGAGGAGAGCCAGGAAGGCGGCGTTCTCAGCAGCCAGGCAGGAGGCGGCGAGCGCCTGGGGCGATCAGAAGCCATCAGTGGCCTCGTTCAGTTAGGAAGATGAGGCCGCCCTCCTCCAGAAAGGGGTCCTGTGCTGACATGGCTGGGCTGAGATGGAAAGGAAGGGAGGTGAGGTTTCATAATGACCTGCCAACAGGGACCCCAGGACCACAGGGGCTGCACCCACCACTCCTGTGAGACTCCTGTTCATGAACTGAGCAAGGAGCCGGCCCCCAGTCTCCTGGGCACTTTTCCAGACGGGGAACACTCTGCAGGGGATGTTGATGAAGGAAGGGCCCGGGGCCGGCTCAGTCTTATTGAAATAAGCATAAATTATCTAGTCAAAATAATGTTCTCATGAGATTCCACACAGCCCAAGAGCAAAGATACAGTGTGAGCTTTTCTCCACTATCAGCAATCAGTAACATGCACAAAACTGCAGGTCAAGGCACCACGTTTACGAAGATGCATGAGCACCTCTTCTCGCTGGGCTTCCACAACGAGACCCTGTGTTGCTCACTGGACCCTGTTTTCATTTTCACTTTGAGAAACATTTCTACTGTTTCCTCTCTTTGCTTAAAATGGTCAGCTTTCCTGATTTGGTTCACAGCCGCTGGAGAGCCAGAAGCTCATGCGCTCAGTGTGACCAGAGGGCTCCTGTGTGCCGTGAACTGGCCCCAGTGACCGCTGGTACCCACACCCCTGCATCAAGCCCTCCCCATGAGTGTGGACTGGACTTACTAGCTCGGTTCAAACAAAAAGGAGATGCAACATCACTTCCATGATTAGGTTGTACAAGACTGTGGCTTCTGTCCTGGGTGCTGGCTCTTGGACTGTCTCACAACAGGAGAAGCCAGCTGCAATGCCGTGAGAAGCCCTTCAGAGATGCCCACATGCGGGAGCTGGGAGGTGGGTCCCTGTG